TTTCTCCACAGGACAGGAGCAGACCGACTCTGTGTCTGCTCCAGTCCCAGGGACCAGGCAGGGGCCGACTCTTTTTTTTTTTAACAAAGAATTTTTAACTGAGGAAACATGAATGGCCAAGAAGCACCTAAAGAAATGTTCAGTGTCCTTAGTCATCAGGGAAATGCAAATCATAACAACACTTGAGATTCCACCTCACACCAGTCAGAATGGATTAGATCAAAAACTCAGGTGATAGTAGAGGCTGGAGAGGGTGTGGAGAAAGAGGAACACTCCTCCATTGTTGGTGGGACTGCAAGCTGATACAACCACTCTGGGAATCAGTCTGGCAGTTCCTCAGAAAATTGGACATAGCATTACCTGAGGATCCAGCTATACCACTCCTAGGCATATACCCAGAAGATGTTCCAACATATAACAAGGACATATGTTCTACTATGTTCATAGCAGCCTTATTTATGATAGCCAGAAGCTGGAAAGAACCCAGATGCCCTTCAACAGAGAAATGGATACAAAAAAAAGTGGTACATTTACACAATGGAGTATTACTCAGCTATTAAAAACAATGAATTCATGAAATTCTTAGGAAAATGGATGGAACTAGAAAATGTCATCCTGAGTGAGGTAACCCAATCACAAAAGAACACACATGGTATTCACTCACTGATAATTGGATATTAGCCCAGAAGCTTGCAATATCCAAGATGCAACTCACAGACCACATGAACCTCATGAAGAAGGAAGACCAAAGTGTGAGTGATTTGGTCCTTCTTAGAAGCAGTAACAAAATACTCATTGGAGCAAATATAGAGACAAAGTGTGGGGCAGAAACTGAAGGAGGGGCTGTCCAGAGCCTGTGCAGTTACCAAAGTTTGATGCTGATGTGGATGTCAGGAAGTGCATGCTGACACGAGCCTGATATAGCTGTCTCCTTAGAGGTCTGCCAGAGTCTGACATATTCAGAGGCAGATGCTCACAGCTAACTATTGAACTGATCATGGGGTTCCCAATGGAAGAGTTAGAGAGAGGACTGAAGGAGCTCAAGGGGTTTGTGGCCCCATGAGGAGAGCAACAATACCAACCAACCAGAACCCCCAGGGTCTAAACCACCAGCCTGGGAGCACATAGGGAGGGACCCATGGCTCCAGCTGTATATGTAGGGGAGGATGGCCTTGTTGGGCATAGGTAGGAGAGGAGATCCTTGGTTCTATGAAGGCTGGATGCCTAGTGTGGGGGAATTAGAGTGTGGGTGGTGGGAGTTGAGGGGGGCAGGTAGGGGCACATCCTCATAGAAACAGGACAAGGGTGTCTAGGATAGGGGGTTCCTGGGGAGGGGTGAAATTGGGTAAGGGGATAACATCTGAAATATAAATAAAATAGCCAATAAAAAAAGAAAGAAAAGGAGAAAAAACCCAACAACAAATGGCTTTAAGCCACCATGTGAATGTTAGGAGCTAAACCCAGTTTCTCTGCAAGAATAACAAGTGTTCTTAACCACTGACCTGTCTCTCCAGCAAAGATACTTTCTTATTTCTGAAACAATCTCATTGTTCCCCTTTACTTACCAACAGTGTATCTCCAACTTCTCCATAAAGTAAAGGTCCCAAGAGTCCTGATTCATGCTGGATGGTTTCACGAGTCTTAAAGGTTTCATCTGTGTATGCTATAAATCTGACTTTTTTATATTTCCTACCAATCCGATGAGGACCATTGCTCAGATACTGGCTTTTATAACTTCTGTATGAGAGGCAAAAAGATTAGGGGCAAGGTCAGAAACTTTTAGATAATCAAAAACACACTTCTAATATTATTTACTCAAAACAAAGATCAAGAAATGTATAAGTAGTCTCAGCCTTACCTATGCTAGTATCTCATGTTCTATTAATTGCCACAGAATGAACAAGTGTTAAAGGCTTAGTCACAAGGGTATGGAGCTAGTAAGACGTGGTAGAATCTTTAAAAGTTGGATCCTATGCAGTGTTTGGGAGATCAGGTCCTTCACCTTGCCTGGACAGCAGAGTAGAGGCGATCCTGGTGGTGTGGGTGCAGGTGAGTAGGCGCTGAGGGCATGAGAGTTTGAGAACTGGTCTTGTCCCTCATCTGCTGTGTGTTGTGGCATGGGCAAGACAGAGATGCTATCATTGTGTTGCCTCTCACTGCCTGTGGCTGTGTGTGTGTGTGTGTGTGTGTGTGTGTGTAGATATTTGCTAAACTACTGAAATAAATGTGAAACCTTGAAAAAAAGAGAAAGAGTTGAAGCCTAGTGGAAAGAACGTAGGTCATTTGGGGCATGCCATTGAAGAGATATTGGGTATGATATTGGAATCTTACACCCCTTTTATCTCACTTTGTTTCTTGTATGGAATAGGTCCCTTCCATTTTGCATATTACTGTGAATTTTTGTGCTGTGCCAAGCTCAAAGCAGTAGTTAAGCAACCACAGACTGAAAATTCCAAATCCAAAAGTCAAAATAAAACTTTCCCATTTACAAATTGACACTTATTTAGGTATTTTAGCATAGTAGTAGAATGGCAGATACTACAACATCCTTACCATTTGATCCCATGACATATTAGCTTTTAAATATGCTTTAAGGAATCACTGGCTTAAACAAGATGAATGTGAGTATAAGGCAGAGTAATACCAAGAGTCCAACGGTGTTTACCCATTATCCAAGGTGAGAACTGAAGGAGCATAATCCCAGTCTTCCTCCTCAGCAGAAATATAATGTATCCAAGTTTTAGGGTACTTTTTAGCAACCGAGCGAATTTGGATAAAAGGAGAGCTGTCATAATCCAATGTGAACATGTCCATTTCTGAATCAAGATCATCATAATCTTCCATTTCTTCATTATTTTTCTTTTGCCATTGGGGTTCCTCAGGGCAGCTATCTACTTTGACATAAGCTTCCATGCCATCTGTAGTCAGACAAACCAAACAATGTTCTTAACTTTCTTGGGTTAAGTGTTATGAATTGTCCTTTATTATTATGATTTAAATAATTTCTCTTAAGTGTCTCTCATTCAAATAAGTACTAGTTTTGTTACTCTCCTATACGAATTATAGTACTTGTTGGTTTCTGGATTTGCCATTTTATTGAACTATAATCTATATACATTTGAACCGTCTCGAAAATTCATTAATATAACAATATACATGAATATTCATAGGCATTTCTACTTCGAAATTTATTAATATAACACATTGGAACATATATGAGTATTTCTCTTCAGAACCGTTTATTTCATCTCTATCTCATGGATGGACTAATTCTGTTACTTCAAGAATGGCTTGTTATTTCAGAAAGAGATTATTTCTCTATGTTCTCCCTCTCTCTTCATCTTTCTCTTTTGTTTGTCTGCCATGTGTATCATTTTCCTGTACTATAACACAGAAAGAAAGCTCCTATCAAATGACAAAATCTTAATATTGGATTTCCTAGGCTCTCGAACTGTGTGAGACAATAATTTTCTATTTGTTACAAATTACCCTATTTCTGATATTCTACTCTGTCAATATAACAGACTAAGGCAGCCTTAAATGGACATAACGAAGAAAAAGTTATTAGGTTGATCCAAGACAAAAAATTAAGAGTTAATGCACAAGAAGGAGAATTGAAGTAAAAGGATTATTCAATATGAATTTTCATAGCTACTACCTACCAAGTCATGTGACCAGGAATTGACACTGTAGGCACAATTGTCCCAAATTTGTTTACACAGGTTCTTAACTCCTTTGCAAAACCTCCATCAGGTAATCCTCAAAAACTTCATATGATACCTCATTTCCCTAGATTTCTGATAGAATCATCTCTTTACCTCTTCTCACAGTACTGAAGCCTAGTTAATGGGATCAGGCTATGAAACCACTAACTGCCTGTGCTTCATCTTTCCTTCTTATTCATTCCTAAACTACATCTCCTTCTGTCATAGACATTTAACCAAAAACCCATAATACTATTGTGCTAATAATAAAGTTCTTCTATATTCAAGGTAAAAATTGTTACATTTGAAGATTTCAGTTGAAGTTTAATATAATTGTAACTGTACAATGCTATTTCTGCAACACATTGTATTGTTGTACACTGCCCAGGAAATGTCATTAAAATTATGATGGAATCTTTTATACTACTTATTTTTAAGAACCAAAATAGTAGTACCATGTTTATGGGAAGAGATATGACAAAATAGCAGGAAGCGCCCAAGATCTATCAAGAGTGTTTGAGCAGTAAGGAAAGTAATTGGTGATATCTCCAAGGAAGCTTGACGATGGTTCCTCACAAAAAATGTATGACCTTCAAGAAATATTGAGTGTATTTCAGGAGTGGTGCCCATTCCAATCACGTGCCAATAGACTGATTTCCTGTGGCATCCAATCAGACCTGTAAAATGGGAATAAGACAGCTATGGAAAATAATTAGGGATCATAAAATTAAAAGTACTTGCTAGAATAGGCTGGATGAAATAACCCTATAAATTTTACTGTTACTTTAACTTATAAACAGTTACCACAGAAGTTAGGGTACTACCAAACCAACAGCTCTTGTCAAAGCAACAAATAACTAACATACTGCTAAATGACATAAATATGTTTCTTTAATTTACTCTTTAAGTTTTGCTGTAGTATATATTCAGTTGCTAAGGCATTCCATGGCTGATAACATTTTTTAATATTTACTAAAGCTCTAAATTATAGCTTGAAAATAATCTTTCATTTAGATCCCTGTTAAAGATATCGCTGTATTATTGTTAGTCTAATTCTTCTTCTTTTCTATATGAACAAAACAAACAAACAAACAAACAAACCAGAGGGCAGAATTCATTGGATGTAGAAGTCTCTGGAAGCTGCAGAAAAGACTTACAGTTTTGAAGTCCCAAAACCCTGAGAATTGTTGGACAGTCGTGAACATACCTGGCAGAGACCTGTTTACATAGCCATTGACTGTATGCATTTTAGGCCAGGCTCCAGCAGATGCAGAATCCATAGACTGTGTATAAGAATTGTTAGTTTCTGAGTGCCAGCTCTTCCCTGGTAAGAAAAAGTCAGATGAGCTGTTTCATGAGTTATATTCCCCCTTTCCTTCTTTCTTTTCCTCATTTTTTTGACACTGAATTTTTGTCAGCAAAGTAAACACAAATTCAGAGTCACTGAGGAAAAAAATTACATTTTTTTCCAAACCAACTAACACTCCTTGTATTTGTTGATAATGATAGAGGAATAATGGCAAATGATAACTAGGAGAAGGGAAAAAAAACTAGTTACTTTAAGCTACAAGAATTTCATTTTGTAAGTTAGATGATAGATTTAAAAGGGGTTGTCAGTTCTTGTCCTGTCATAAGTTGCTTTATCCTATTTTTGTAGCATGGAAACCCCAGGAAGTTGAAGGCTTCCAAAACTACTCTCCAAAACTAACAAAAGCTGAAAATTACTCAGGAAATTTTTAAAAAAACAGTATGAAAAACAAAAAAGAGAAAGACTTGTCAGGATCAAGACGACATGGCCTCAAATAAGAAGATAACAGTGTAATGGTCCCAAGAAACAAGCTGGAGTGCCATTCTAATATCCAATAAAATATACTTTCAACCAAAAGTTATCAAACGAGTTGGGTAAGGACACTTCATAATCAAAGGAAAAATCCACCAAGAGGAAGTCTCAACTCTGAACATCTATGCCTCAAATGCAAGGGTACCCACATTCATAAACGAAAGGTTACTAAAGCTCAAAGTACACATTGAAGCTTACACAATAATAGTGGGAAACTTCAACACCCCATTCTCATCAATGGACAGGTCATTGAAATAGAAACTCAACAGAGACACAGTGAAACTAATAGAAGTTATGAACCAAATGGATTTAGCATTTGGTTATAGATACTGATACAGAACATTTCTCCTCAAAACAAGAGAATATACTTCTCAGCACCTCATGGAACCTTCTCCAAAATTGACTATATAACTGGTTATAAAACAAGCCTCTACAGACACAGGAAGATAGAAATAATCCCATGCATTCTATCATATTACCATGGACTAAGTAAGGCTAGTCTTTAATAACAACAAAAACAACAGAAAGCTCAAATACTCATGGAAACTAAACAACTTTCTGCTCAATGATAACTTGGTCAGGGAAGAAATGAAGAAAGAAATCAAATAGTTTATAGAATTCAATGAAAATGAAGATATACCCAAACTTATGGTATATAATGAAAGCAGTGTTAAGAGGAAAATTCATAGCACTAGGTGCCTTTATAAAGAAATTGGAGCGATCCCATACAAGCAATTTAATAGCACACCTGAAAGCTCTAGAACAGAAAGAAGCAAACACACCCAAGATAGGATAGTCAAACTCAGGGCTGAAATGAAGCAGTTAGAAACAAAGAGAACAATACAAACAATCAACAAAATTAAGAGTGGAGTCTCTGAAAAAAATCAACAAGTTATGTAAATCTGTAGCCAAAATAACTAAAGGGCACAGAGAGAGTATCCAAATTAATAAAATTAGAAACAAAAAGGGAGACATAACAACAGAAACTGAGGAAATTAAAAAAAAATATCAGAACCTACTACAAAAGCCTATACTCTACAAAACTAGAAAACCTAGATGAAATGGATGATTTTCTAGACAGATACCATGTACCAAAGCTAAATCAAGATCAGGTAAACTAAACAATCCATAACCACTAAGGAAATAGAAATAGTCATCAAAAATTTCCCAATCAAAAAAAAAAAAAAGCCCAGGGCCAGATGGTTTTAGTGCAGAATTCTACCAGATCTTCAAAGAAGAGCTAGCACTAATACTCCTCAAACTATTCCACAAAATAGCAACAGAAGGAACACTACCTAATTCATTCTATGAAACACAGTTACTCTGATATCTTAGTCACACAAAGAAAGAGAACTTCAGACCAATCTCACTTATGAACATCAATGCAAAAATACTCAATAAAATTCTCATAAATTGAATTTGAGAACACATGAAATCCATCATTCAACACAATCAAGTATGCTTCATCCTAGGGATGCAGGGATGGTTCAATATAAGTAAATCCATCAACTTAATACTCTATATAAACAAACTCAAAGAAAAAAGCTACATGATCATTCATTAGATGTTGAAAAAGCCTTTGACAAAATACAGTACCCCTTCATGTTAAAAGTCTTGCAATTCATGGTACATAGCTATACATAATAAAAGCAATATATAACAAGCCAACAGTCAACATCAAATTAAATGGAGAAGAACTAGAAGCAATCCCACTAAAATCTGGAACAAGACAGGTTGCCACTCTCTATCTATTAAATATAGTACTTGAAGTTCTAGATAGAAGTATTAGACAACAAATGGAGATCAAGGGGATACAAATTGGAAAGGAAGAAGTCAAAGTATAACTATTTGCAGCTAATACGATAGTATATACAAGCAACCCCCCAAATTCTACCAGAGCATTCCTACATCTGATAAACAACTTTAGCAAAGTGGTAGGATATAAAATTAACTCAAACAAATCAGTAGTCTTCCTTTTCACAAATGATAATCAGGCTGAAAAAGAATTTAGGGAAACAACACCCTTCACAATAGCTACACATTGTATAAAATATCTTTGTGTAACTCTTACCCAGCAAGTGAAAGACCTGTACAACAAGAACTTCAAATCCCTGATAAAAGAAATCAAAGAAGATCTCAGAAGATGGAAAGATCTCCCATGCTCATGGATTGGCAGGATTAACATACTGAAAATGGCCATGTTACCAAAAGCAACCTACAGATTCAATGCAATTCCCATCAAAATTCCAACACAATTCTTCACAGACATGGAAAGAGTAATCTCAAATTCCTATGGAAAAACAAAAAACCCAGGATAGTCAAATCAATTCTCAACAACAAAAAAACATCTGGGAGAATCACCATCCCTGACCTCAAGCTGTACTACAGACCAATAATGATAAAAACTGCATGGTATTGGTACAGAAACAGACAGGTCGATCAATGGAATAGAATCAAGTCCCAGAAGTAAAACCACACACCTATATACACTTGATCTCTGACAAAGAAGCCAAAACCATACATTGGAAAAAAGAAAACATCTTTAATAAATGGTGCTGGTCTAACTGTGGGTCTGTAGGAGAATGAAAGTAGATCCATATTTATCACCCTACATAAAGCTCAAGTCCAAATGGATCAGTACCTCAAAAGATACATTGAATCTAATAGAAGAGAATGTGGGAAAGAACCTTGAATGAATTGGGACAGGAGACAACTTCTTTTCTGAAAAGAACACCAATGACTTAGGTGCTAAAATTAACAATTGGTAAATGGGACCTTGTGAAACTGAAAAGCTCCTGTAAGGCAAAATATACCATCAACAGATAAATTCACGATGTCTTTGATTTTAATATCTGAATAGCATTCCATTTTGTAGATGTACTATATTTTCTTTATCCATTCTTTGGTTGAGGGATATCTAGATTGTTTTCAGTTTCTGTCTATTACAAATAAAGCTGCTATGAACATAGATGAGCAAGTGTCTTTGTGGGATGGTGGAGCATCTCTTGGGTATATGCCCAGGAGTGGCATAGCTGAGTCTTGGGTAGAACTATTCCCAGTTTTATGAGAAACTGCCAAATTGATTTCCAATGTGATTGTACAAGTTTGTACTCCAACCAGCAATGAAAAAGTGTTCCCCTTGTTCTACATCCTTGCCAGCATGTACTACCTCTTAAGTTTTTGGTCTTACCAGTTCTAATTGGTGCAAGGTGGATTCTTAGGGTTGTTCTGACTTGCATTTCCTGGATGACTAAGGACTTTGAACATTTCTTTAAGTGTTTCTCAGCTCTTTGAGATTCTTCTGTTGAGAAATTTCTGTTTAGTTTTGTGCCCCATTTTAAAAATTGGGTTATTTGGATTGTTGGTGTCTAACTTCTTGAGTTCTTTATAAATTTTGGATATTAGCTTAGGTTGCATTTTTGTCTTAGAGTCATTCCTGTCCCCTACTTACTTCTCTCCTGAATAGTAATATAATTGTGGTCTTCCTATAATCAACATTATTTTTTCTGAATATAAGCAGCCTATATTCTCCAATACTAGATAAACCTATTTGTTACATATTTGATATCTTTTAGGAAATCAAATGTTTAATTTATTGAAACTCTCTGACCTTCATCAAATACAGCAAAAAGTAGTACAAATTGGTACAACATCTGTGTTCTTTCTTTGGACAGACTGCCTGAAAGAGAAGAGAAAGCATTTATTGTCAATTTAAAATGCCCTTGTAGAAAATTGCAACAAGAAGGAAACATTTCTTCACAAACCAGTTGAGCATTAAAAAATGAAATACTTTGCCTAATGTTAACTTTGTTCTTTGGTATAAGGTCCTTTAAATTGGTATTTCTAAAACTATTGGTGGTAAATGGTTACTTACATAAGTTTCCAATTTCTCCTAGAAATTTATTTTTCGTAAAATAAAAAAAACTGAATTGCTGGAAAATGGAATTTAAAATAAAAAATACAAGCCAAAATAAAACACACAAATGGATAGGTGGATAGATAGATTTTTACAGGACAAAATAACAAAAATAGTAAATATTGTCAATGAAATGTGTATATAGATAATTAATTTAGGGATCTTCTATTACCCTTGTAACTTTTTACGTATATAATTGCAATGGAGCAAACATTATATGTGAAGAAAACAAACAACTAAACTCACATTTTGAAAATTTATTAATATAGTTTTAAAATTGTGTTTATATGTTCTTGTATGTGTGCACATTTCTATGTGAGAACAGATGAATTGCTGTGCCCAGCTTTTCCTCCCATTCTCCTAGCAGTATATTTCATAAAGCAAAAGTTATTTATCTTGACATAGCCCATTTATACATTCACATTTTTCAACTTGTTGAAAGTTTCATACATATGTGTAATCAATGTTAGTCATTTTTACCCACAATTCTCCTATTCTCATCCTCTGTCTGCTACTGAAACCTTTCTTTGTAAGAAGTCCCCCTCCTACTTTCATGTTTTCTTCTTTGGTGTGACTTTTCATGGCTTTTTGGAGTCAGATTTACACCTTTCTCCTATCTCCAGTAATAAAAACTTTCTGTTGTATTTCATAAAAGTTTTAAAGTATTACATTTTACATTTTAAGGCTGTAACCTGGATCCACATGGGGAAAAGCTACCAGAGGTGAGCTATGTCTCTCTTTTGGCCTACCTGTCAACCTTCCTGAGGAGGCCTTCAAGGTCCCAAGAAAATCCAGGCTAGATTCCTCCTCCACCAATCCCTGGCCTGCCAGGTCTACCTGGGTCACAACCAACAGAGGTAAGATGCTCAATGTCCCCTGACCTCCATATTCTTGCCCATGGTCTTGCTTGCCTTCCTGCAGAGGTTTGTGGGGGGCCCCAGGAATATTCGGATCCACTTGAGACACAGCCAGCAGAGGTGAGCAGCTTGCTATTCTCTGAGATCCATTTTCAGACCCAAGGCACTGCGCCTGCCTCCCTGAGGAGACCTGCTGACATAAGGAATATTCATCTAATACTAGGAACAAACAGATGGCTAAAGGACAGCATAAGAACACAATCAACAAGGGCCAGGGCTATATGGCACCACCAGAGATCATCTATCCTTCTACAGCATGCCCTGAATATCCTAACATACCTGAATCATAAGAAAATGACCTTAAAACTAATCTTATGAAGATGCTAGAGGACTTTAAAGGGGAAATATAAATCCCTTACAGAAATACAGTAAAGTATAATGAAATGAGTAGAGGCCCTTAATGAATAAATATAATGATATAGAGGAAAATACAATCAAACAGGTATAACATTTGAAATGTAAGGAAATAGAATAACCAATAAAAAATTTAAAAATACCAAGAATATTAAGCCTATATTGGCAAAGCATTTTCCCAGTGAGTTTTACTACTGTCTCCCACTAACAGAAGCACATTAACGCAGTCCTGGCTTCTATAGCAACAGAGACATAAAGACAGTATTTCAGCAAATATCATGTCATTGAGGATAAGTTTAGAACCTACATTTTTAGGGTGACCTAACCTTTTGGTCAAGCTAAAATTGGCTGATGCTGATGTTAGTACCAGCAGCAAAACAATGCAAGGAAGTCTGTCCACTAGCTGACACTGGAGCTTTGAGTGAATCAAACATGCCAAGACCGAAACTTACTATCACAGCCTTTGCCTGTCCTCTAGGTCATTTTATCTGTGTTCCCCAGCCAGGTTGAAAATTAGTACCAACAGAAGCTCTGCTGCATGTGTGGAGCTTTGCACATGGCAGCTGATGCTGCTTGCATTAACAGAAGGAAACATTGTGATTCTAGGTGCATCTCATCACTGTATACAAAAATCTTGTGAGAAAAGAAAAGGTTACTCCTTTTATTCTTTGACTGTGTGTGTAATCAAGATTGCTTTATTTCTGAATTTGAAAGGAAGCCCTGGTCCACCTCTCCTGTTCAAAGAAGTTTAAATGGGAAGGAGCTATTTACTGAGAACTTTTCATTTTCCCTTGCAAACAAACAACTAAAGATTATCCCCAAATTACAAGTCCAGTACCAGGGAGAGAAAGTATTCAGGTACCTCCTAGAGAATCCGAAATACCATGATGCTTTTTTTTCTATTTTATAAGTTTTAGCCAAATGATGTGTATTTGCTAATAGCATTCTCAGGTCAAGTATGCATTTTTGTTTGTTTCCAATTTTCAAACGACTTTCTCTTTTCCCAAAATGTAATAACTGCATATTCTTATTAAAGATACATTCACAAAAAAACCCATAAACATTCAAACAGGTGAAGGACATGAATAAAACTGTTCAAAACCTGAAAATGGAAATAGAAGCAATAAAGAAAAGACAATCTGAGGTAATCCTGGAGATGAAAAACCTAGGAAAGAGAATGAGAACTATAGACAGAAGCAGTACCAACAGAATACAAGAGGCGGAAGATAGAATCTCAGGCATAGAAGATATATTAGAAGAAATTAATATATCAGTCAAAGAAAATGCTAAAACTAAATGTTGCTAATACAAAAATCCAGGAAATGTAGGACACTATGAAAAGACCAAAACTAGGAATAATAGGAATATAATAGGATGAAGATTGCCAGCTACAAGGTTCAGGAAATATTTTCTACAAAATCATAGAAGAAAATTTCCACAACCTAAAGAAAGATATGCCTATATACATATAAGAAGCTTACAGAAAACACCAAATAGATTGTACCACATAACAATCAAAACACTAAATGTATAGAACAAAGAAAGAATATTAAAAGCTACAAGGGAAAAGGGTGAAGTAACATATAAAGGTAGACCTCTCAGAATTATACCTGACTTCTCAACAGAGACTCTAAAGCCCAGAAGGGCCTGGGCAGATGTCTAGATGTCTTGCAGACTATAAGTGATCAGAGATGCCAGTCCAGGCTATTATACCTGCAAAACGTTCAGTCACCATAGATGGAGAAAATCACATATTCTATGACAAAACCAAATTTAAAAAACGTCTATCCAAAAATCCAGCCCTACAGAAGATACTACAGGAAAACTAAACCAAATGAGGCTGACTACACCCAAGAAAATACACAAAATAAATAACACTAGCCAGCAAACCAAAGGAAGGAAATCTCTCTCTCTCTCTCTCTCTCTCTCTCTCTCTCTCTCTCTCTCTCTCTC